TGTAGGGAACCAAGCCTCACAAAGATGGGGTCCTTCTTTAGGGACCCTGAGACTAACTCAATGAAAATAATTAGTCTTTTGGCAGTCAACAATTTAAAAGAGCTTACTAAGTAGCAGATAGGAACCGGAGCTGGTACCATTTCAGGTGATTTCCAGCCTGGAGATGCTTAGTGGCTGAGGTGCACGTAGGAGACATGAAGACTTGAAGTGATGATGCAACCATAGCAATGTAAGCTAAAGCCCCAGCTACAAGGAGAGGAAGAGGAGGTGGTTTGACTTGCGGGGGTGGCGGGGGGAGCTCTGGGCCCCTCTCAGATCTGTGCCCGGCGATAGGGATCCTGTTTATACCACACTTCCTGGCTTTGCTTTTCCTGAGCTAGTGTTGCGCATGCGAACTTGGCCTCTTTTGTAGCTCCTTGAACACTTTGGGGAGAAGCGTTTAAATGACACAAGTAAACATGTTGCTTTGGTACCAGAACCCAGGTGACACGGATCAAAGACTTTTCCAAAGAAGATTGCTACAAAGGATGTTGCAAGTCATGACTGTATTTACATAATATTATAAATGGTAACACATTTGAGACCACTGAGATGTAAACCTTTTATGATCCAACATACTGAATTTATCAACACAGAACCTATAATGTACAAAATAAATTAATAGGGAACCCAACAGAACATGTTATGTTGCAAATTTACTGCTACTTATAACATGCCTGTTTTACTAGGTTCAGATAAAATAGCAATATATATATATATATATTTTTCTTTTTTTGGTGTAAGATGCAGATATACAATTTGTACCAATCTCACAGAATTAGTTTAATCCAAAATGAAAAACTTATTATATTTTCTATCAGATGCAACAGAAATTAATCATTTGAAAATAATCTCTCCCCGCTTCTCCTACTTATTTTCTCCCTAGCACCTAATACGTTGTGTATGTATTTCTTCATCATTTGTCTGTCTCCCCATTAGATTATAAGCTCCTTGAGGGCAAAGCCTCAGTCTGATTCAGTGCTATATGCCCAGCACCTAGAATTTGACATATAATAGGTACCCAGTAAGTAAGTACTGAATGAATGAGTTTAAAACAGGCACACATTTAGCCAATATAAAAATTGATTTCTATAACTTCATTTCACACACTGGCCCTACATGATAGGCTAAAAACTTTGGTCCTTAGTTCACACCTGATTCTCTTCCCTGACTCTCTGTGGGATAAGCCAATGTCCTGGGGTCGCTCAGCCACTTGGTAATACCGGGTTTGGGCACCACGGCCGCTGCCACCCCTTGGTGTATCCCCAGGCTGGCTTTTCCCAGAGCACAGACTTGCACAGATTGTGGGTGTGAAGCTGAAGTGATGAAGTTAGCACGGAGAAGGAAGGAGGAAGGAGGCTCATTCCAACATCCCCCTGAACTGCTGCGTGTGCCGCTCCAGCTTCTTGGCCTCGGCCTGGAGGTGCCGCAGGGCGGCGGGGCTGGGATGCTGGAGTACAGCGTGCTTGGTGGCCAGCGCCAGGTCCTTGAGCAGGCTGCAGAGGCAGCTGCTGCCACGCAAGATCTCGTTGCGCACGTCCCTCTCCTGGGTCTCCTGGCACAGCGTGTCCACCAGCTTCTGCCCGACCATGATGACTAGCTTGCTCTGCGCGATGAAGATCTCGGGGGGCTGGCTGTTGCCGAGACTGCTGTGCAACACGCCGATGGCTTTGAAGAGCGCCCCGAAATAGAGGCGGCAGTGTTCACTAAGGCGGATTTTCTTCTCAGGATTCTGCTGACTCAAAGGTCGGGGGCTAAGGGAGCTAGGATTCTAGAGAAGAGAAAGGAAACAATGGATAAGAGAGAGATTCGATCGACAGGCTGTGGTTGTCTCTCTTTTCCTGTTTTTGCTCAATTTGCTAGACTTTTTGTAAGAAAAAGTACAGTTTTGTTTGGGAAGCCCCACAGTGCAACATCTGCCTAAGAAATTAATGTTAAGGTTTTCGAAGCACTGTTACATATAAATTATCTCTCAGGTATATAATTTTATATATTGCATTATATATATAAAATCATTCATATTAGATACATATAAAATCGTATTCAATCCTCTCTACAAACTGTTAGAAACCCATTCTAAGAAACTCGTTGACAATGACTAAATTTATAACTTAAAAAAAAATGCAGAAAACTTGATGGTGAGATTTAAAAATTTACTCAAAGAACAGGTTTAAAGCATTTAAAAAACTCTTCCTAGTTCCAGTATCAGAGGTAAATCTGAATCCCCCAAATTTCCAGAAGAAATAAAAATATACTGACTTATCTGCTTTAAGATTAAAATATTTATCTTACTTGCTAATTAAAGTTTTATTTAGAAGTTTACTTTCGTGATTTTATTTTCTGGAATGTGGAACCAAAGCCTATTCACTGTTGAGAGATTCTCAGCATCAAACTTAGTGGAAATCCTACTCCAGGTAAGAAACACGCTGCTAAATTTAAATTGGATAACCAACAAGGACCTACTGTACAGCACGGGGAACTCTGCTTAATATTATATAACAATGTAAATAGGAAAATAATTTGAAAAAGAATAGATACATGTATATGTATAATTGAATCACTTTGTGTACACCTGAAACTAACGCAACATTGTTAATCAACTATACTCTAATATAAAATAAAAAGTTAAAAAAAAAAAAGAAGCCCCTTTGTTAAGTTATAGGTGAGGAGACTGAGGCTTCCGGAAGAGAAGAGGCTGCCTAGGGTCACTCTATTAGCAAAATAAAGATCTGGAGCTCTTAGCCTAGTCAGCAAGTCTGAAACTCTCATTCTTTCTATTAAACTGTGCACTCTTATCAACCTACGGTCTTAAAACACCCAGCTCAGAAGCACTCAGACAGTGTTATAGTCTGACTGTGTCTCCCCAAAATTCATATCATGAAACTCTACCCCTCAGTGTGAAGTTATTGGGAGATGGGGCCTTTGGGAGGTGACCAGCATTAGATGAGGTCATGTGGGTGGGGCCACCAGGAATGGGGTTAGTGCTCTTCCAAGGGTTGCCCGAAAGCTTGCTTCCACCCTCTGCTCTCTGCCAGGTGAGGATACAATGAGAAGTGGGCAGTCTTCAGCCTGGAAGAGGGCTCTCACCAGAATCTGACCCTGCTAGCACCCTGATCTTGGATTCCTAGCCTCTAGGACTGTGAGAAATAAATTTCTGTTGTTTATAAGCCACCCAGCCTATGGTACTTTGTTGTAGCAGCACAAACAGATTAAGATAGACAGGTAAAGGGAAGAAAAGACTGGGGTGTTGGTTGAGATGGACTCTCAGGGAGCAGGGAGCATGAGAAGAATGCATCAGAGGCTAGAAATGAGGAGCAACCATCTGGACATTGGAATGTTGGCATCTTGGCTTGGGAGTATTACCTGTAGGTAAACAAAAATGTACTATGATGTTTATTCTGGGCTGTTGGAAATCTCTGGAGGTATTTTTGGTTGTCACATTGACCAGGGAACACTACAGACTACCAGTGGACAGGGAGCTAGGGATGCTGAACAGTCCATCCCATGCAATGAAGAACTGCCCACCTGATGGCCAGTGGTCCTCCTGCCACCCCCACTGAGAAGCAGTCAGTCTAAAGCAGGGTTTTTCCAAGGGTGATCCTTGGACCTCCAGCACCTGGGAACTTGTTAGAAAAGAAAATTCTCAGGCCCTTCCCTAGACCTACTGAATCAGAAACGCTGGGGTGGGGTCCAGCCCTCTGGGTTTTAACAAGCTCTATAGGAAACTATGACACACTCTCAGGTTTTAGAACCACTGGTGCAAGGCATACTTCGTGCTGAACAAAATAGCATGACTTTTAGCAATCTGACAGGCCCCAAGTTTTGGGTTTGGGGTTTGCAGAACGAAGCATCAGGACGCCTGGGTTATCATCTTAGTTGGCCTCTGAGAAGGCAAACAATCTTGTCCACATCATTGGATATCTCTGTCCCTTCTCGCCCACGCTGCCCTCCCCACCTCCCATCAGCCAGGAGGTTGAATGGGTTCATTGGTTCCCAGGCTTCAGTTATTCAAAGAAAACCTTCACACATTACGCCCTTTCTACCTTCCTCTTAACTTCGGTCAGCTACATCCTTGTTTTTAAGTGATCAGCTGTTTTTACTTAAGTTAAAACTTTTAAAATCGGTAAATGGAAAACTACTGTCATTTGCCACTAATAGGAGGTAACCAATGAAAAATAAGTACAATGATAACATTTTTGATTTAAAAAAAAACAGGAACATCAAAGGTCAAACAGGTGTTGAAGATACACAGGCCCCCAAACCAAAATGTTTTTTCTGTTGTAATCAGAAACATTAAAAGGGAATGTCAAACAGATACACGCACAGAGGGAAGATCAAGGGAAGACACAGGGAGAAGACAACCACGTACAAGCCAAGGAAAGACACCGGAGAAGAAACGAACCCTGGTCTTGGATTTCTAGCCTCCAGAATTGTGAGAAAATAAATTTCTATTGTTTAAGCCAAAGGGGGGAAAATGTCAACAAGAATGTGAGTCCGTGTGACTTCATGCCGTGTCAGTATCTCCTGTGATAAACTTGCAGAGCACCTGGAATTATTTCACTGCTGGTTAAAGGACCATGTTCCACATTTTGGGGCTCATTGGACTTGCTCATCTCCAGGGTTCCTTCTATTATAAAAAAGGAAGAACTGTCACAAAACCAAGTCTCCTCCCATGTGGGTCAGGGCTGTAATACTGAATTAGTCACAGCAGGAAACATCTCTGGGGATAAAGCCTATTATTAGTCAATCAGAAGTATTGGAGAGTCAGCATCATGGCTTACCTGTGTTTCTAAGTCTTTGTTTTCATCCAACCTTTGTTCCAAGATGGGTTTTTCTTTCTCTTCTAGGCTAGGTAACTCCTGAAACATAAAATCCCTTCAAATTACCAACTAGAATGGCCTTTATACTATTATATAGCTGTTTAAGTCCACTTTATAACTTGAGCATTCCTCGTTATGTTTTTGATGGTTCCACCTAGTAATGACCTTTTCCAACAAAGGATACATCAGCAGCCCGAGGGCTGAATTTTGCCTACCAACATGGCCTAATATAATGACACACAATTTTATTGCGAAATGAAAAATATCCAGACTTCTAGCTTCTCTAGAGTGTGTTAAAGCTCTTGTACCTCCAGGCATGTCAGCAGAAAACCAAGACTGGGGCTGAAAGCACTGAGTTATCTCCGTGACACAGGCCCCAGGTTACCTGCTGCATTTCTTGCAACTTGCAATTCTCTCTTTTTTTTTTTTTGGCTGCGTTGGGTCTTCCTTACCACGGGTGGGCTTTCTCTAGCTGCAGCGAGCGGGGGCTACTCTTCGTTGCGGTGCACAGGCTTCTCATTGCAGTGGCTTGTTGCAGAGCACGGGCTCTTGGTGCGTGGGCTCTAGAGCGCAGGCTCAGTAGCTGTGGCGCACGGACTTAGTTGCTCTGAGGCATGTGGGATCTTCCCAGACCAGGGCTCAAACCCGTGTCTCCTGCACTGGCAGACTGATTCTTAACCACTGCGCCACCAGGGAAGCCCTGCAACTTGCAATTCTTGAACTAAGGGTCTCTTTCTATAGTGTCTAGACTCATGGAGCAAAGTGTTCCTAAGAGTAACTAGAGTCTGGAGGCTGCTAGGACCATGCACAACTTGGAAGAGTGTTTACAGTTCCTCTTCTGTTTCTAAGAAACACACCGACAATGACTAAATTTATAACTGTGAAAAATACAAAGAAACTTGATGATGAGATGAAAAATTTTGTTCAAAGAACAGGTTTCACAAGGTTTTCAAAATCCTTTCTAATCCTAGCATCAGAGGTAAGCCCAAAACCCCAAAATTTCCAGAAGACATCCTGTCTGCCTTAATATTAAGATACATATCTTACTTCTTACTAAGAGCTCACCTAGAATTTTCCTTCCATGAATTTTATTTTCTAGAAAATGGAACCCTTATCTCCCCAAAGATGATAAAACAGATTCTCATCATCTAACTTACTGGTGACCACTCCAGATAAAAATGGAAAGTCCGGGCTTCCCTGGTGCCACAGTGGTTGAGAGTCCGCCTGCCGATGCAGGGGACACGGGTTTGTGCCCCCGTCCGGGAAGATCCCACATGCTGTGGAGCGGCTGGGCCCGTGAGCCATGGCCGCTGAGCCTGCGCGTCCGGAGCCTGTGCTCCGCAATGGGAGAGGCCACAGCAGTGAGAGGCCCGCGTACCAAAAAAAAAAAGGAAAGTCCCCTTATAGTATACTACTCTGAACTCACCTGTTCACAAACATTTGTCCTATTTTTCTTTAATAGTTCAGGAGGGTGTTCGCTTTCCCTTTGTTTATGAAAAGGAGCATTCCTTTGGTATGATTCAGTCTCCTTTTGGGGAAGCCGGATGGATTTTGCAAGCTTAAATTCTGCATTTGGGGTCAATTGCACGGGGTCTTCCTTTTCACAGTTTGGCTTGAAAAGGAGTCTCCCGTTGGCAATGACGAGGGAGGCGAACCTCTTGATGTCTTCTGGAACCATCCGTGCCGTCAGGACAAATCTCTCCAGGTCATCCAGGCTGTTTTGGACTTTGTTGGTCACAAGGACTTCCAGGGACCAATCGCAGCTCTCCAGACTTTCCTTTGTTTCAAGCAGGATTTGGTAGGAGTTGGAGATTGTCTGTAGCTGATCCCTAATTTTGGCCTGAAGTTTACTGTCGGTGAGGTTACAGGTGGTCCCACGGACGCCGCAGGCGAAATCCAGAAATTCTCTCAAGGATTCCTCTATGCAGTCGGCAGCCCTGCGGATCGCGTGGATATTGGCCTCCAGGTAGTCTCTGAACCTCCACTGCCTACTAACGAAGAGCATGAGGCCCGCGACAGAGTTGTCCACCTTGTGCTGCAGAGCTGTGACTGTCTCTTTGGCCAAGTCCAGGTCCAAGGGGAGCTCTTTGGCTGACTCCTCCGAGAAGGCGCTAGAAGAGTGGCTAGACGTGGAGGAGCATGAGGAAAGGACGCTGGCTCTGCTGTCAGAACTGGAAACGGACAAGCTGTCTGGCTCAGGAGACGGCGACGCTGCCCGTCTGGAGAACCACGAGGAATTATGGTCCATGGAATTCTCTGAAGGCCCATCGGCTTTCCCCAGCTCTTTCCCAGCCTGGGGGACACTTAGCACTGCTTTAGGGACATCGTAAATGTTCAGCTTGGTGTTCTTCTGTTCCACTCGGGAGATCAGAAAGCTTGAAGGGACCTTGTAGCTGACACCTTCATCCAAAGGGAATGCATCCCTGGGTGGTGGAAAGCTATAAGAAGGAATCTCTGGAAGGCTGAGTTTTTTCTGCATGGGCACGTTTTTCCGTGGGTGTGGACTGAGGGTCCTTGTTCTGCTGTCCTGAGGGCTGTGAAAACTGGACATGTACCTGGGGAAAGCACGGTGCCCCGATTTTTCCACAAAGCTGCTTAGAGATGCGTTTCTTATATCAGCCTTTTCCGGAGACACTGGCGTGTCATAAATCCATTCAGATTTCTGAGGGCTTGGCAACGTGTTGCAGCTGCCTCTCCTTAAGGCAATGCTTGACATCAGGGGAACACTCTGCCCCTGTGAAAAACCAAAGTCACCCAGTTTAGGAGCAATAAAAAGGCAGTATGAGCGACTCAGGTGACACGTGTATTATACTGAGGACCCACCAAGTGCTGGGCACTGTGCTTCTTAAAAATCTGATCGACACCCCCCTACTCACGCTTCTTCTGTGGCTCCCCACTGCTGTTATCACTCAAGCCCTTCACAGTCAGGCTCCAACCTCCTTTTCAGCCTCCTTGCTCTCCGCTTCTGCCACCGCCCTCCTTAAAGGTCCAGCTACACTTGCTGTTTACCTTCCCCTGAACACAGAATGCTCTCTTGAACCACTATATTTAATTTTGCCCAAACTGGTTCCTCCGCTCTAAATGTCTTCCCAACCCATTGCTTTCCATCTAACAAACTCCTATGCATCCTTCGTGACACTGCTGGGTTGCCACCTTGGGCATAGGTATATTTATTTATACATGTGACAGAATCCAACGATAAACATGGATTACAGATTTCAAATTAAGGCACCTCCTTTTTATACAAATAAAAACCTACCTTGATGCAACATGTCTCCAGGGTATACAATAAGAAGAAGCATTTATCTAAAGTCTACTGAGCTCATGGGACTTCCCTGGAGGCACAGTGGTTAAGAATTAGCCTGCCAACGCAGGGGACACAGGCTTGAGCCCTGGTCCGGGAAGATCCCACATGCCGCAGAGCAATGAAGCCCGTGTGCCACAACTACTGAGCCTGCGCTCTGGAGCCCGCGAGCCACAACTACTGAAGCCCAAGCACCTAGAGCCCGTGCTCCACAACAAGAGAAACCACCGCGATGAGAAGCCCGCGCACCGCAACGAACAGTAGCCTCCACTCACCACAATTATAGTAAGCCCGCCCGCAGCAACAAAGACCCAACGCAGCCATAAATAAATAAGTAAATAAATTAATTTAAATAAATAAATAAAACAAAATAAAATAAAGTCTACTGAGCTCTTGCTCTGTGCCAAGCACTGTACTAGGTCTTTTGCAGGGATTATGTCAATTCTCACATAAATTTGTAATAAGAAACGGAGGCATATGGAGGTCAAAGGATGTATCTAAACCACATAGCTTGTTCTGTTCCTGAACGCCATTGCAGTTACAAGTTTTGCCTGCAGTGAAGTAAGTTCTGCTGTGAGGGATTTGCATTCCTAATTTTTTTTTTTTTTTTTTGCGGTACGTGGGCCTCTCACTGCTGTGGTCTCTCCCGTTGCGGAGCACAGGCTCCGGGCACGCAGGCTCAGCGGCCATGGCTCACGGGCCCAGCCGCTCCGCGGGATGTGGGATCTTCCCGGATCGGGGCACGAACCAGTGTCCCCTGCATCGGCAGGCGGACTCTCAACCACTGCGCCACCAGGGAAGCCCTGCATTCCTAATTTTGACCAAGCAAACAACATTCCCCAGAGGCCGTTCAGGTTTGCGTAGCATCGGATCTCAGTGCCTGTCATACTTACGTTTGGTTGGCTGGCAGGGGGACCAAGTGCTGCTTTTTGGGGCCTGGGGAGGATGTCATATAGCTGCTGCTGCTTCCCTGGCTCCTGGGGAAAGACCACAAAGAAGGACAACTTGAATTTTTCCCTCCTGATGGCTGCACATCACAAAGTCTCTCCACTCCAGTGTTTCTTTTTTTTTTTTCCAAATGAAAACACATCAGTCATGATGCTTTTATGGTGGAAGTGTGTGCTCTACTGGGTATATTTTCAACAATGGACTCTGTGCTTTAGAAAAGGTGACTTCTCGATTGAAGGTGGGGACAAACTATAGAGAGAATTAGCTGCAGCTGCAGTTAAAAACGGTAGCTTATTTCCTCTTGTTAGTTCACCTTAAGATTGAATTAAAGAAGAATAAATATAAGATTGGGACTTACCATGTCTTTTATCTGTCTTGTTTTTCTCAGCAGAAAATTTCCTGTGCTTGTAACTCATGTATTCATCCTGCAAATATTTAGTGAGTGCCTACTAACAACTACACACTGAACCATATGACATATATACACCCAGTAATGAGCAAAAGACATGGCGCCTCTACAGATAATAGGCTTTTTTTGTGTGCAACAATTAGGAAATACATATTTTAGGATAAGAGAAACAGGTTCCATGTTCCAAAGTGAGGTGAGAGAGCACCAAAACAGGTTTTGCAAAGAAAGAGAGAAAAAGCTGGAATTTGGAGAGGGGGTTTCTTTGGAGGGAGCTGGCCTGTGAGTGTCCTGCTCTCCCCTTCTCAGTGCGGGGAGGAAAGGATGCTTTTCACTCTCTTCAGGCAAAGTGGAAAGTGCCCCACGGAACCTTCTGAGATTTGAGCTGTGCCACCTGAGCTTGGGGTCATAGTGCACAGTGTCTAACTCTGCTTGAGAAAAGTTAAAGGTGAGAATCTTCTGACAAAGCACAGGGTGGTGGCTGGGCTGAGGGGGTCTGTTCTCAGGGCGGGGACCAGGGGGAGCAAAGGGAAGCCCCTGCCTTGGCATAACATTTAAAGGTGCACCAACAAACTCAGTGTCTAAGGTAAATAATACTTTAATGCAATACACTTTAAAATCGCAATTGATGTGAAAAAATCGTGATGAACAAAATATCAACATTTTGAATAAAGAAATGATCCACAGGGCCGGGACGAGGGCAAGGCAAGTGAAGTGAGTCTTGCAAATGTGTTTTTGTTTAAAACTTTGGGGGAGAAAGTGCCCCATTCTCCATACCCCGCCCGCCTCCCGGTCCTGGCCCTGGGGTCCATTGCGGCTGAGGGAGCCCGTGCGTTCTCTGTGGACCAGACGTGGGCTGCATGGGAGCTGGAGCCAGGCCGAGAGGGTGAGAGCATCTCAGGAGTGTGAGGCTGGAGATGACCGGCTGCCTGGAGCTCAGGGAAGAACCTTCAGCCACCGGCCAGAGGAGAAGCATCTGCCCACCCTGTGCAACTTGCAGGTAAGAGATACCCAGCATGGGACTTCCCTGGTGGTCCAGTGATTAGGGCTCCAGACCCTGACTGCTGAGAGCCCAGGTTCAATCCCTGGCTGGGAACTAAGATCTCACAAGCCATGCAGCCAAAGAGAGAGAGAGAGAGAGAGAGAGAGAGAGAGAGAGATACCTGGCAATCAGGGGAGGCGGGGAGGGGTTGGCACTCGCAAAAATGTCCCCTAAGAGAAAGAATCAGCCTGCAGTGCTCACTGCCTCCATGAGGTAACACTGTGACATCCCTCCCGCAGAACCGGGCATGAGGGACCTTTCCACCTCTGCCCTGCCTCCCTGCTTCCCCTCAGCCCCGCAGGAGCCTGAGGTCACCCAGTGAGAAGGAACCCGAGGTAGGGAACTAGCAGAGAATCCAGCCAGTCCTCCGTTCCTTCAGCAGG